TCTCTTGTGTTCTCTTATTTATAGGAGATAAAGATACAAATTTTGATATACAATTAATAGAGAGAAATGATTAAACCTTGAGAAGATAAACAGATACATTTTGGGAACTATAGTTAGATACAACTAATCTCATAAATGTTCAACAAGATACAACTAATCTAATAAATACTCATCATCAATTTACAATTGGATTAGTACAGTGAAAGTGATTAACAAACAGATCCTCTTGATCTTCAATAAATATTGTTGTTCACAATCATTTTCCAAAATATTGAAGTCCAAAAATGTACAGTTTACTCACAAATAACCAGCAAATACCCCTTTGACAACAGAAGAGCATTTCTTTGAATCATTTCTTGTGAAGAAAACCACTTTTGGAAAGAAGTCTTGATAAAAATCCCTTGCTTCCATTATCAGTGTCCTTTGCTTTGGCACTGTTTAAGTTGCTTATGAGAGACCAATGTGTTTCAAAGTCAGGTTGATAGCCATTTTCCTGCATGGCTTGCATGAGCTCTGATACCTTCCTAAGATTCTTTTCCATATGATAACTCTTAATTACAATGGAATACATTTCTCTGGTTGGAGTTTCACCTCCACGAGTAATGTCCACTAGAAATTGTTCTGCTAGTTCTGTCTTGCCATCTTGGCAGAATCTATGGACAATCATTTCGACTGTATCAATTCTTGGTTTGAGATTCCAGTTCAACATCTCAGAATAAAAATTCAAAGCCATGTCCAAATTATTTTGCTCACAGAATCCATGAATGAGAAAATCATAACTGGTGGAAATTGGAATGTTATGTTTCCTCAGCATTGTGTTCAGAAGATGAACTGCCTTATTCAGTCTTCCATGCTGGCAAAAACACTTGATAAGGTAATCATAATTGATATTATCAGGAGTTAGAGATTCCTCTCCCATCATGTCTAAAAAGGTTTCAGCTTCTTGTATCTTACCACACAACAGAAGGCTTTCAACAATGGATGTTTGAATGGCAGAATCATGTATCCAGCCTCTTACTCTCATTTCTTGACTCAATTCCAGGGCTTTTTGCAGATCCCCAGCATCACACAGGCTGCTTATTGCCTTCCTCAAATGATGGTTACTTGGTTTGAATCCCTTTGAAATCATGATGGTTAGATAATGCAGAGAACTAGATAAATCCTTACATTGCAAAAAACCATAGACAAGAAAGTTGAGACCAACTTCATCAGGTACAACTTTCTTCTCTTCCATTTCAGCTAGTATCTTATTAACAACTAAACTATTTCCAGCTGACAAAAGATAGAACAAGAGAATGTTGTATATGATATGGCCATCAAGTGCACATTGTGCAAGCATAAGGTTCTTGAAGCTCAGTGCGAACCGGACTCCACCTTTCGTACAAATTGATCGCACTACATTCCTGTAACTTGTGAGGGATAGCTCCCAACCCTTTCTTATTGCAACACCAATTAGTTCCCCCACTTTTCTCCAGTCACTAGCTTGGCAGTGGCCCTGAATAAGCATGTTACAAAGTTCTTCGTCTGGACTAAACCCTTTAGATAACATATCTCGGAACATTGTGTCAGCTTTCCCTATGATCCCCATATTACAAAATCCACATATCAATGCACAATCTACAGCATGAGAAAATGAAGGATGCTCTTTCAAAATTTTATCTTTTAATACAATAGCTTTGTCATATCTACGAGCCTTGCATAATTGAGGGATTAACAAGACGGAAACATCCAAACAAGGTGACAAACTTCTATCTAGCATATCATTCAATACTGTGAAGGCAAGAGAAAATTTTCCCTCATTACATAAGCCCCTTATAAGATTATTATAAGCATCGTGATCCCAGATGAAACAAGGTTGTAGTTGTTTTAAAACTGCAATTGCAGTATCTGTAAGACCCCTACTAGAAAGTACTTCAATAAATATATGACATATCTCTGACTTTTGGTAAGGGTATGATAATAGCATGATTTCAAGAAACCGTGATGCTTCCTTAAGCATTTTATGATGGCAGATAAGAACAAGAAGACATTTAAAGTCCTCCAAACCTGGTAACCATTTATTTCTACAAGCAACATTCCAATAAAAATTAAAGTCCGTCATGTTTCCTTTCTTGCATAAAGTCGTTAAAATGGCAGTATATGTCTCATTCGTGACCTGAATTTTGTTTTGAAGCATTTCGTCCAGTACAGTTTTCACTTTGTACAGTAAACCTTTCTTGTTGTACGCCTGCACAACCAAATTGAGAGTTTCTGGGTCAAGTTTATGGGCAGACCGTGGCATTTTCTCCAAAAGGATGGTCAATGCCGTGGTTTGCGACCGAGATGAACAAAGTTCTCTCACTAACTTTGAGAATTCAGGCAACAGCAATTCTTGTCCCCAACAAAGCATTTCTTCAACCAAACCCAATGCCTTTTTCAGGTTATCTTTGCTACTTTCCTTTCCTACTAATGAATTGAAGTTGGGTACCATGGATTCTTCAAGATCCAAAGTTAAGCGTTTATCATACTCATCAACATCTGTATCCAAATAAAGTCCATTTCCAACATCATCAAAGAACTCCGTTTTCGAAAGTCTCGCATTGTTGTCTCGTTTCAGCTTCACACTCAAAGCGTCAAAGCCCAAAATCAGAAAAGCCTTGGAAATCGGATTCTCCATCAAAGAAAGCTTAATCAATCCACGGCTCTCCATCTCATGAATCAAAATTTTCACTTTATCAAACTGCCTGGACTTACAATACCCTGCTATAAGAACTCTGAAAGTCGAAACATCAGGCAGTGTCCCCCTCTCAATCATTTCATCAACAATGTCCCGTGCAAGATCCGACATGCCTACCTTAAACAACCCACTTATAAGAGCATTGTAAGTGTAAATATGTGGCACAAAGCTTTTTGATAGCATAACTGACAAATAACTCAATGCATTTCCCATCTTCTCTTCGCGACAACTCCAACCTATCAATATCCCATAGGTTACTTCATCAGGACTAAAACCTAAACTCTCTAGCTCTCGCAAAAACGACCCTGCCCTTTCTACACCATAACTCATACACAATGAACTCATAACTCTATTAGCAGCTTTCACACTAGGGACACACTTGACTTCAACAAAGAAACTAACCAAATCCTTGAAGTCCCTCCTCTCACAATATCCAAACGCAAGTTCATCAAAAACCAAACTACTAACCTCACAATTAAGAACCAACACCTTCTTCACCATGTTCCTTGCTTCCTGAAACTTCCCACCAACGCAAAGAAGCACCATAACCATCTCCAATGCCCTCAATTCATCACCACTCAATGGTCCACCGAAATCCACCAAATCAAAAGCCACCCTTAATGCAAGATCCGTCCTCTTCACCTTCACCAAGAGATCAACCAAAACACCATAACAATCCCTCGAAGGAACCTTCCCTCTCCCCTTCATAAAATCGTACACAAAAACACTCTTTTCCCATTGTCTCGAACCAGCATATCCTTTAATGAGATCGTCAAAAATTTCATTTCTTTCCACCGCGAAAAGCAACTCCTCGGCTTCTTTGAACAACCCCACTTGCACGAGAAGCGAGGCCATGATCTCGTGGGACTGTGAAAGGTGCGTGAAGTCGAAAGCCGCGTTCCTGCGAGCACCCCATTTGAAAATCTCCCACAAAGCGCGAACCTTTTCGAGCATGACGCGGTGGGACTGGAGAGCCTGCAAGAGTTGCAGCACGTGCGAGGGACCCAGCACGGGGAGCCTCCAGCACGTGCGAGTGGTTTCGGGGATCGCGAGGGAGAGCTCCAAGAGGTGGGGTTTGGGAAAAGCGTTGGTGTTGAGAAGGTAAACGTTGGGTGACGAAACGGATTGAAGGGTGGTGCAAGCGCGAGAGAGAGAAGAAAAAAGGTGGCTGCGGCGGCGGTTGCGAAGAGTGAAGTGAGAGAGGAGCATTCAACAACACAGCTGCTGCCACTGGATGTGGTTGCGGCGGTGGCAACGACTATGACAAGGTTGTAGAAGAAATATTGCTATTAATATGACCATGACATTTTAATTAGAATTTGAATTAATTTACCTAATTATTTTGTTGAGGGTATAAATTTTGATCTAAGTTCCACATTGGATGAATGGGATAAGAAATGGAGAGTGAAATAAAATATAAAAAATATTAGAGCTTAAAGAGATTTTTTATTTTATTTAAAAATAAAATTATATATTTTATTATTACATGTCTTATTATTGAATTGTTTAAAATTTAATTTTATATAAATATTTTTTTTCTATTTTAAGAAAAAAAATTATTTTTAAATCATTCAAATATAAATCCATAATAAAATATTTACTTTTATTTTTGAACAATTTAAAAAAAATGTTTTTATAACCTAATTAATTATTAAATATGAATTTTTAATTTATATATTCCTATCAAAGTTAATATTATTTTTACAAATATGTATAAACATATTTTACAGTTTTATTATATGTCAATTAAATTATGCAGGTTTATCAATACTTGAAGTTTTTTTATCTATAATAACATTTTATAGATATAGTAACATTTATTGGTATCAAAATCCCATCAAATACATATTGTCTATAGAAAATACGTCAGATATAAAAATTCCAAAATGACTTTTTTTTGTCTTTTGGGTAGTAAATATCTCATCTCAACCTTGTTATGAGAATCTTGTCAGGCTCACTTGAATGAGGTTATGTGTATTTTGTTGAATTTCTAGGTTGGTCCTTGAAAGGTTGAAACTTGATTAAGTTCATGGAAAAGGATAGATTGGTCTTGACAAAGGTGATTCTTGAAGGCAAGAACAATATAGAAGTGGTGGAAGCTTAACATAATTACATAAATATGATCATTAATGTGAACACATACAATCATATAGTCATTAATAATGTCACTCTCACTTTAGATGTGGGTGATGATAAACCAAAGGGTGGCTTGGGAAGGAATTGACCAATAACCTTATGCATAACCACAGATACCAAACAAGCACAAGACCCCTAAAGGGCATCTATGTCCACACCTGCCACAATTGAAAATGCTAAAGTTTATGTTACTACACAAACCTTTACAACATTGCCAATTGAAGGGACACTTCCTTCCACACATCCCACAGTTGTTGTTGTCAAAAGTCACATTCACACAACGTTCTTACAACACAAATTTCTTGGTGGAAATTCCCCTTCATGGCACACCCTTGGTCTCCAACGACACCCTGGACCTCTTCCTCTCACATTATTTTTCACCCATGGTGACATTGTTGTTGATGGGACACTAGTAGCAGCTTTTTGGTGCAAAGTCTTTGGTGTTGATTTTCCCTCTATTGGGATCAAAACCAACATAATAAGAAATGTTGCAATTGCCAACAATTCTTTTAGCATTATTTTCATCTTTAATCTGTGTTAAGAGGAGTTGGATTCAAGAAGGTATATATATTTGGAATGTTGGATTTAGTTGTACATAAAAAAAAATAGTTTTAACTTTGATATATATTTTTTTTTAAGTTTAAACGTATAGTCGATGGTAACTGAAAATGTCACTTTATTTTTAAAACTGGGCTAGTTTCATGGAAAAATAAATATTCTTCCTTATTTTCATAATATTTTGGTAGTATAAAAACCAAACCAACCGTGATGATGGTGATTTTAATGTAACTAGGTGGTGGACGTTTACGTAAAGCCTTGTCTTTGGAAAATGTGTTTTTGACTTTTTGACAAATGTCTGAGGATCAACGTGAGTATTCTTGTAGATCAATCATTTAAATTGAGTAGTATGCTACACGAATTTAGGTCACGTTGTATGATTCTGATTCACGTGAAAAGGGCTACGATTTTTAGTTTGGAAAATGATACTTTGACAACCCAAATCCATACAATTCCTATAAACAACTCTATTATAATATTATAATAATAGTTTTACTTTATTTTTATTTTTATTAAATCATTCTATAGATTATTATATTAATAAAAGTGAGTTGTTTGAAGGGTTGTATGGTTTCTGGTTGTCAAAATATCACCACTCTTTTAGTTTATGAAAAAATGAGAAATGAACAAACAAACACCAGCATGAACTGTCACACAAATTTAACATAAAAATAATTTTATATTGACACTGTTTGATAAAGATGATGATTCCAATGAGGATTATTTTGAAGTTGGTACTTCTGGCTATTCCACTTTGCTAACATATTTTTGAGTCTTGAAATTTATCCTTTTAGTTAGAAACCCTCATCCCAAACTTAGAAAAAGTTTTATATGCTTATTATGTTTTGTTTCTATTTAAAGGTTTATATAAATGCTACTGCCACATAGGGGAGTATACAGCAAAACCAATAGAGCCAAAAGACAATAATCAAATGATAAAAGCTAAGACAAGTATGAGTCACATTATTCAACCACAGACACTAAGCACTCAAGAGCAGTTATTACATTTTATTTTTACAAAGACCGCGAAGGACAATCAAGCACCATACAGCGAGTCCATATAACAAATACCAACCAAGTATTTTTTCAAGTCCTTAAAACATGCACATAATACTTCAAACTCAAGTAACTGCTGCCACCATAATAGAAGGATACTACACACCATAGTAGGTTACTACACAGATTTGAACTAGCAACTTACATAACACAATAGTCACTTCTATCAGAGAAGTGTTACTGGAGAACAAGGCATTCCTGTGAACCAGCCACCATGGCAGGCTGAGTGCTTGGGCTAACAGCATCAACATCCTCAGCACATTGAGGCTTGACATTCATCTCAACAGATGCAATGGCTTGAAAAACAAGTGCGGTGACTTCTTGAAACCTCTCTTCAGAGAGGGAAACCTCAGCAAGAAGCCTCCAAGCATTGGCTTCAGATGCCTCATCGTAGTCCTTCTTCCTCTTCAGCACCATATGCCCACTAATTTCCCATACAGCAGGATTCACTTGGGTCTCCAGAAGCTCAGCACTCACTTCTCCAAGAGCTTGTTTCTCTGCATAGCACTGTTTCACCATTTGCAATTGAGTAAGTTGCCATACATTTTATGCTTAAACAGATTTCTAGGGGCTACAACCTTTTTGTCTATAGTGGTCCCTATAGAATTATTGGAAGATATTCATTCTAAACTTCTTTAAGAAAGATCAAGATTGTTCTCCAATAGATAAGGACTAAAATTGTGACAAGGACTAAAATTGTGAACCAATATTATAGAAACCAAAACCAACAAAGATATTTATTAGAAAATTAAATCCATAAAAAGCAATTTACCTGTGGCAAGAGAAAGATTTGTCTTCCACAGTCTGAAATAAGTACGTTGTATGGTACGTTGTTGTGTTGAAGGCAGATGCAGGCTTCTGAAACAACATTTGCTAAAGTCTCTAGCGTATGACCACCCTCAAAAACCAGGCCCCTGACGGGATAGTTCAACAGTTTAGATACTTTCACTCCACTTAATTTGGTAATATTCTTAGTAGAAGCCTTCTCAATGGGGAAAGGCATAGCCAAGTAATATGCCTGAATTTGTCAAAATCACAAAATGTCAACCAATATAATGAGTACTGCTAAACACTAGATAACAAATAAAACAACCCAACAATCAACATGAATATTGCAGTTATCTCGAGTTGACTTCTGATTAATCAGTACCTGGAAGTGGAGATGGTTAATGGTTGCAAATGCACCCAAGCTGTTGTAACCCAACCTAAAATATGGATTCCTTGCTTCAACTGCCATGTGAAGTGCAAGCAAGAAGCTTGCATGGTCAATCCTTTGAGGTAAACACTCAAAAATTCGAGGAATTAGCAGCACATGCCCATATTCAATAGGACTCACCTGTTAAAAATATACAAAAAGGTTAAACATTTATTTGACTAAACTCTCAATCACTGACTGCAAAATAACTACGGAAATTACATTGATGGCAACAACACTAGGAGAATTCTCAACATCAACTGGAGCATTTGGAGAGAATTGAGCTTCCCCATCATTGCTAGCCTCCAACTGAAATAGAACCTCTTCTTGCCCAACTTTAGTGAAGTTAAACTTGCTTTCATCAAAGGGCTGGAGGACCTTATCAACACGGAACTCAGTTGGTCTCTTCTTGAGGTGGCGACCCTCATTAAGCTGAGCAATGAAACCATACTTCCCAGGAATCACCTAACCCAATAATCAACATATCAAACAACCGCATACAAAAACCCAAACACAACTAGAAAGTAAATAAAGCCAAATGGTATAGAAATCAGACCTTGGTTTCACAGGCTGTGACATCATAGCGAAAAAGCCCTCTCTGCATGCGTTCTTCCCACTACACCAAACTCAAAATACTCAAAAATAATCATGAAAAAACTACATACACAATGGAAAAAAAAAACATAAAACACAACATCATTACCTAATTTAGATACAAATTAAAACATTAGAAACATCAAAACACATAACATAATGACACAACTACAACACAAATGAAATATCAAGCCTTTAGAAAAAACCAAAAAATGACGGCACACCTATAGTCTGTAGTCTGACAGACTGATAAAAACAGAACAACAACCTTTCGGCATACCATAAAGGGGTGGAAAAACAGTCAACCAACTCCACCTCTAACCCACTAAAAATGGGATGGACCGAGTCCTCCAGCATCATAGTCAGAATGAGCTATATAGACTTTATTACTTCAGAAGGAAAATAAGCAAGTGGACAGGTCTAGCAATTTTTTTTATATAAAAAGTTTTATATATTTTTCAAAAATATACTCTTATTTGAATATTTTCTAAGATTTTACTATTAATTAATATCTTTTATTGGATAAATTGAGAAAATTACTCCGGTATCATATTAAAATACTCAATTAAAATCAATAATTTGAATAATAGTACATTTACATGTTTCAATAACATGACACAAAACAATAAATATTTTAAATCATAATTCAGTTTATTTTAATTATGTAAATATATTTTAAAAAGTAAACCAATAGGCCTAGCACGCCTTAACTTTGGCCCGTAGGCTAGATGGACTAATGGACTAAAACTACCAACCACTAATTTAAGGCAGGCCATCAGCCCATCAAGTCAAGCCTAACCCATTTTGGGTTCCTTAATACCATAATGACACACCTCCACAAATTTAAACATCAATCTTTAAAATATTGAATTACAAAACATTTTGGCACACATACACGTAAGGCACATAATGAGGCACAGCCATACACGAACAAAACAATAAGAACTCAGAAGTACCTCCCCAAGGATAAGCGAGTCCAAAAATGCCACGGGGCAATGCTCCTCGCATCCAAGCAAAGGCAACTCCTTTCCATCGACCTTGTCCACACTCTTGAAAGTATACAAAGGCAGCCTCGCACCTGTCCCCAAAACACCATAAAAAACACAAATGATCAAAATTCAAAACCCATCAAACAGATCACGCCATAGTTTTAAAGTGCTGTCTCAGTCACAGTGTCATCACAATCCGAAAACGACTGCAGACAAATGCAACACGAAATACCTAACTTCGCGACCAAATATAACGATAATGGACCCTATTTCACAACCTTGCATCACACATCGAAACCAGAAACCTCAAAACAAAAATCGAAAAAACCAACCTTGAATGCAACAACTTTTGAGGCAATTCCGACCACATCCTCCGGCAGCACCCTCCCCTGCCTCCTCCTCCTTCTGATAATTGGAAACCACAGTGGGAACCCTCTTGATGCTCAACATCCTATCCCTAACCAAAACTAACAACTACCAAAGATAACAACAACAAAAGCAACAGAAGGAAACAAAAAAAAAACCCCTTATGGAGAACTTTTGAAGGCGTTGTTTATATTACGACTATTCCTACTACCGAATCCTAACAATTACGGGCTGAACCACCGCCGGCAAGGAAAAGGAGGTCAGAGGGGCTGCCACCTTCAGAAGGCAGAGCGCCACGCCCGCCGTGGGGCGAAGGGTTGCTCTCTATCACACAACCCTTGTGACGGCCACAACGGGCATGTGAGAGCGAGTGGCGAACTCGTTGAATAGCCGTGATGTCTACAATGCTTCAACCCGGGTTTTAACCCCACTCATTCACCCCCTAAATTCGAAATCAAAGTCAATCCCTCTTCTCTTTTATAACCCTTCCTCTTCCCCTTCTCTCGTTTCACGTTAAACGGAGGAAAAGGTGGCAGATTTGGGAACCCAATGGACCGAATTGCAAAACCCAGAAGGGAAATTAGAGGGCAATAGAGAGAAGGATGGTTTTGAGTGGTGATGGAAAGATCAGGTTTTAGTTTTTCTTTTATAAATACAAAGAGAGAGATAGAAAGAGAGAAAGAGTGAAAAAGATAAGAGAGGAAAAATAGTTACGGCACAACAATTGTGGTGGTTGTGGTTGTGGCTGTGAAATGTACCTTTTCATTGGGTATATACCCAATTATCATAAATTTAGGGTACAATGTGGACGTTAACCTATTACCAAACACTCTTCTTTTAGAAAATTGACACTTTTTATTTTAAAATAATTTTTTTTAAAATATGCTTCTAACAAATATTTTTCATTAAAAGTCAAAGAGTATTATTGGAAAAATTATAATATTTCCAATTTCCAATTAGAACATTTTTAGAAAAACGCCTTTGGAGAAATGGAAGTACTTTGAATTTTTTGTTGGAACATTTTTATTAGGTAAAATATTATGAGCTAAACATTGATTTTGTTTTATAATTTTGTTTTTTTATTAGTAAATTTATTTTAAAATACTCATTTAATTATTGGATAATTTGGATTTTAATTATAGAAAATGTTTATCTAATTGATGATTTTAACATTTATTAAATTTATTTATATTTTTTTCCTGTAATGGTTTCTTAATTGTATAAACAAAATTCACTTAGAATAACAAAACTAACTACACTAATCTAGTGTTGATTGTCGCAAATATACACACGCTCAAGATTTTTGCACGTTCAAGATATCAAGAACTAGTTTCCGGTAATGAATAATATAATTTGTATTAATATTATATGATAAAAAAATAAAATATAAAATCTATAATTATTTATAATGAAAAATAAATTATGATAAATTGAAAAAACTATTATTATAATTTGTATACTTAAAAAATAATAAATATATGAAAAACTATAATACATAATTATTGAAAAAATATATATTTAAAAATAGAGAAAAATAAAAAAATATTTTTTAAAAGTAATTTTAAAAATTAATTATATAAAAAAATTTAAACTTAACACATGTACTTTTTATATTATTCTAATAAAAAATAGATGATAACCTTAAACTGTATTATATTATATTATATATAAAATAAATGGGTAAAATTTTGTTTTGAAATGGGATTTTAATTTTAATTTTTATGATTGAAAAAAAAAGTCAAATTAACCTATAATATAAATTTCAGTGACATTTTAATCAATCATGATCTTGAATTGTAGAATGAAGTTTGAGATCAAACTAATTGATGACCATTCAAATACAAACAAATGAATGAAAAAAAAAAAAAAAATATATATATATATATATATATATATATATATATATATATATATTGATAGATTAGATATAAAAAGAATATATTATTTAACGCTATCGTTTTAAAACATTTTTATGTTTAAATTTGAGTATTAATTTTCATAAATACGACTAAATATAATTCTTAAAAAATAAAAAAGTTAAATAAATTTAACTAATATTATCAATAATTTAAAATTATATAATACCTATTAAAATAAAAATATGTAATTAATTATTATTTAGTCATATTTTGAATTGTTTACTTATTTTATTTAAAATGTATATATTTTATAAATAATAACAATTTCTTTATTATTATTATTATTAAACGTTTGAAATGATATAAACAAAATAAAACAATGAGAAAACAAACACCATTTAGGATTTTTGTTAATAAAGAATAATAAAATAAAAAATAAACATATAAAGGAGAAGACTATTGGTAATGAGAGAAACCTCAAATCTCTCACCATGGAAAAAGTTTTTTGTTGGGTTGAATTTGATTATTCTTAAGTCAATAATTAGTATTTTATCTTTTATTATATTTTGTTCTCATCGAATAATTATTTTATTAAGAACGATAAAATAAATTAATATAGTGTGTTGATTTTTTTGTAGTCTAGTCAAAATTATTAAGATGAATTATTCATTACAATTAAGAAAGACTTTCAGTTGACTTTTTTATATATAAAAAAAATTACATATTTAAAAAAAAACATACATTTTTTTAATTCCTAATACTTTATAGTTAATTTTCTTTAATTAATTTTGTAATCTGACATTTTTAATAAAATATATTTTTAATCCCTTGTAAATATATTTGTAACTCTTTCAAATTGTTTGAAATTGCAGAAATCAAATTGTTTTCAAGGTTTTGAAATTAAATTGTTGTCCTTTAATGAAAAGAACTTGCAGTCCCACACACGTGAAACTTCCTGTTCATAATTCCTCCATTACAAACCGACAACGATCATGAAACTCACGTTGTCACAGATTTTATGTGTCAATTGTTTGTGTAATGACAAAAATATAAGCAAGCTTTTTACCACGTTGTCTAACTATAATCAATGTATAAATTTATATGTATTTTCATTTGCAATAAAATACTTTGTAGATAAGTATATGTAACGATTTTTAAAAAATTGTTTATATACATAACAATTTATACATTGTAAAAAAAAATTAAGTTAAAATGAGATTATAAAAAAAAAATAACTCTAATAAATGACACGTATATAGTAACTGTGTGTTGTAGATAAAGATTAGCAAAATTTAATACTTTGGCAAAATAATTATAAAAATAAATAAATAAAAGAACTAATCTTACAACATTTATATTTTTTAACATTTTGCATATAAGCACATACCTAGATAGTTAATTAAACAAATATATAGTATCCTTTGTTCTCTTATAACCATTAAAAAGTATTGAAAGTTTAAATTTGTCACAATCATAAAAATTTCTCTTTTAAATATTTTCCTGCATATAAAAAACAACTTTTGATCATCTTACTCTGTGTAATATTTTTCCTCCTCAATCTTGACATCAAATTAATAATATTCACAATCTAAAAAGTTGGGGTTATTGGTGGGAGAGGGTTTAAATCTAAAAGAGGACTTAAAAATGCATTAAAAAAAATGTAGTTTAAAATATAGTTAGAAGTTTAAAAAACTATAGTCACGTTTCAAATGTTGTAAAAAATTTGAAAGAAAAGTATCATTTTGTGAATTTTTTGTTACATAATTATATAAACTAATGGAAATATTGTTTTTACTTAAAAGACTAAATTAAATATAACTCCACATATATAAAAAATTAAATTGATAATTTAGTAACTACAGTCAATTTTTTTCTTTTCAATTTGAGGATATTTGAATGTAGAAAAAAAAAACTTTTTCAAAAGAAAAATATAATATTTGAATATATAAAAAAACTATAAAAAAATACTACAGTTTTTCATATTCATAAAACATATATTTTTTATTTTTTTTACAAAATTTAGATTATTATTTTAAACATTTAATTTTATTTTACATTTTTTTATTCTATAAATACTTCTAATTAATTATATGTTATTTATATAATTTGATTTGGTGTCTTTATAAATTCCTTATCGTTTAAGAGGAGTGATCATCAATTTTTAACTCATTGAAAAGTTTTATAAGAATAAAATTGTAGAAGATTAGAGTTTTAAACACAAACAATATCAAAATTGATCTTAATAATATTATCTTAATACGCATAAAATTGAAAACTCTCGTTAAATGTAATCATCATTTGAATATGGAGGTGTTAATATGGATTCTAAATTGTGAGCCAACTCGACTTACCATGGGTTGAGTTTTATTTTTTTCATTTCTAATATAGAGGTGTTAATTTGGGTTGTAACATATGAGCCAACCCGACTCAACATGGGTTGAGTTTAAATTTTTCATTTCTCATGATAATAAGTTAAAAATGAACTCGACTCACTTAACCCACGGATTAAGCGGGTTTAAGCTTTGTTATGATGGATTATAATCCGCAACCCACTATTCATTTTAAATTTTAAAAATAATTATAATAATTTAGTAACCTTAGTTAATGTTATTTTGTCTCTTTATCTCTACTATGTGTCATTGCTAAAAGTCAAATCTTCACTCAAGTTTATCATCAACTTTTCGTCATACCATTGTGTTTGTCATTGCATTTGGTCCGCTTGTCATCCGTCCATCGCACCACTACACCATCTTATTCATTGTATTTGTCTAGGGATGGCAAAACGGGTCAGCTCGCTCATTTTGATCCGCTAAAGCGTAGGCTGACCGATTATAGTCATGACTGATCTGTAGACTTTGGCCGTCCCGCCAAGGGGCGGTTGAGGGTTGACCAGTCATAATTTAGAAAAAAATAATTTATTTTTTAAAATAAATTTTTTTAATAAATTTAATAATAAGATTATTATTTGTTTGTCAATGATTCAATATATATATATATATATATATTATTTCTATTTAATAATATAAATCAATACATTATTTTAAGAAATTATAATTTAGAACAATAATAAAATTTACATAATAATAAATAATAACAAATATATATATATATATAAATAACGTTAAAACTTATAAAATTTATATTTTTTATATTAAAAAATTCAAATACCTATATCTTTTTTATTTGATAAAACTTCACATTATTCTTTGTTGAGTAATTCTTACACATTTAATTCAAATCATAAGAATAAAAATAATCGATGCTTAAGATGAAGAAGGAGAACAAGAAAGAGAATGTTGTGTTTCGAGTAAGAAGAATATTTTTTGTGAGAGTGAAACTTTTTTAATTCTCTTTTTAAAATTTTTAACTTTATATATTATCTTTATAATTAATTTTATTACAATAAAAAATTATTTTTTTATTAATTAGGCGGGTCGCGGGCTAACCCGTCACATCCTTGCAGGTTGGTCCGACAGGTTGACAGGCTTGGTGGGGCGGGCCAAAGTGGGCTGGTGGGCTAAAAACACTAACTCACACCCGCCATATTATGGCGGCCCACCGAGCCTGACCTATTTTGTCATCCTATATTTGTCACACTATCGCGTTTTAGTTATGTCACAGTATTTGTTGCATTTTTGTCCTGGTTCGAACCACATAACAACATTTGTTGTGTAACCACGTTACAACCTTTCGATCGCATCCCAACATTTGTCCTGCCACCGCATTCATCGTACCACTGCAAATTATCACGCCACCATGACATTGTGTTTTAGTTGCACTATAACTTTTACTGCGTTTCATCGTGTCACATCATTTGTAACATTTTAATCACATCACAACATTTATTGTATTTCCCATCATTATTTTCAATCCCGCTATTCAATTGTAATTATTAGAATAAAAAAATAAAATACAAAAAGGTCAATATATATTATATTGAGTCCGATGGTGAAATTTTTTACTCACAGTAGAATAAATAAGTTGAATCACGTATTTTCAACTTAACCAAAATCAAAGAGAATATATGCAATTTCATATTTCAATCCTAATAAATTGTGTTTTAAAACTGTATTTTTATTTATAACTTCTCTCTCGAATATGTTTTATTCAAATTTAACAAATTTGGTAATACTATTTTTCTATAATTTTTCAAAAAATTAAATAGGTTTTAAATTATTTAATTTTGAGAAAAATTATAGAGTCCTTATCTCTTTCACCTTATATAATTTCACTCCTACATATAAAAGTCTCCTCCAAGTTTGGGGTAGGTAGAGTCCTTACCTCACATGAAAGGGGGCATATAGGACAGAACAATAATGTCCCAGTTTGGGCAACCACCAGCCACAAAATGAACTTTACAGTAGACACTAGTACATAGTACATACCCATAATTGAATGACCTACCCTACACTACCTGGTTGCACATGCCCTTAAATTTGACTTCTCACACTTTGCTTTGTTTTTTCCCCTGTGGCTGAAAAGCTGATCCCCCACTCACATGCCTTCGAACCTATGTTTTTCCCCTGTGTACCGTACATATATCTCTCAAGAAAGTTATAATTAATGACTATTTTTTAATTCTATTTTTATTATACAACGGTAAATAAATCTTTCACCTCACCCCTCCTCAATAAAATAATTTAAATATTTATATTGATACAGATTTCATTTTATCCATAAAATAATGTAAATAAATAATTATTTTATCTATTTTAACTTTTAACATTATTATACATTTTTTCTAATTATATATTAATTTTCAAGTTAATTATAATTATTATCTTTTAGCTCAATGTTTTCTTATCTTTATTTGAACACTTAAATATTTAATAAAAAATCAAATAATTTAAATAAATTGTATGCAATCAAAGTTCTTATTATTACTTTTTATTACTTTAGTTAACACTTAATATTTTAATATTATAAAATATTTAATAATGACTAAATACGTTAATTAAATTTTAAAAATTATGTAAATTTATATCACTCATAAAATTTTCTCTTAGAATGAATTTCTTTTACCTCTAAAATAATAATATTATTTCTAAAGTAAATAGATTTTGAAAAGTTCTGATAATTTTTCGAATTGATTTTTTTTTTTAAGTTTTTTAGAAACACTCTGAAATTAATCTTACATATGATGATGAAATTCAACTATTCTTATTAAGAATTTTTCATTTAAAAAGAGTGAAAGCAGATATATAAAATATATCAATAATTAAAAATAATAAAAAAGAAAAAACATGATTTGTTATAAAAAAAATAATTATGTTAATCATTAACTTTTTAAAAACATTTCAGAAAATCAATTATAAAAAAAAATTGAAAATAAGTTTCCCACTATTCAAAACTCATTTTCATAATGTCTTTATTGGAAATATATCATGAATTCAACTATCATAATATTATAAGTATAAATTAAATATATTTTTTTATCAACATTTTTGGATAAAATAACATATTATATAATTCAAAACATAAATCATTAACAAA